CCTGGCTGGCAGGGCAGTCTGGGGGTCAGGTAGCAGCTTTCGTCTGTTCTTGACAAGACGCTAAGCCAGCCTGGCTGAGCTGCTGCTGGTAGAGGTCTGATCTCTCTGCAGACATGCAGTATGGGGTGCAAATGCGGTGCAAGCTATTAACAGCCGAGTACGTTTCTCGTCTGCATTTCCTGACAGTAAAGTGAAGTGGCTTATTGAGACAATTAGAGTGGGATGGAGTAATTCAGCGTGACTGGATGCCACACTGCAGAGAGCACTTGTTAAAGACAGGGAGGTAGGATAAGGAAAGGGAAGGATCTGAGGAGTATTTCCCCCAGAGTGAGAAAAATGCCCCCCTCCCCTCATGAGTAATTCAGGGCCGCCTGTTCTGGCCGTGCCTCCAAGTGTCTATACATAGACCCTCCCTTTTTATCAGCAAAGGCACAAGGAAGGAGAAGCAACTTTTTGATTCAGTTCCTTGTTGTCTCCTTTTTCTGTAAGACTCTTGACAAAATACCTCCTCTCAGAGGGCTGCCTGCCAATCTGGAGGAGGGCAAAAGGTGGTTGCTCTCTGCCTCCCTTCCTCCTCTCCCTGTATTCTTGAAGATTACCAAGTGTTCTACTGTCCCTGCTCCCAGCACAGTCTAGACATTTCACCTGAGGAGCAGTGATGGGAGAAGAGATGGAGAGGCCCGTGGCCAGGGCTCATCTCTCAGACAAGGGCTCTGATCATTAGGCAGCTTGTCAGGCGTGTCCTTCTGGCTCTTCAAAACTTATATTTTCAGCTGCCCAGTGGTTCGTAGTGCATACGTGTGAGTAGGGTGCACTGCTGAAGCCTGAAAGCTCTGGGGTTACAGCTTGCAGGGTGACAGGGAGATTGAATTTGTGTCCCTCTCCCTACGGCTCCCTGCAGGAATGGTTCTCACGCAAACGGCCGTCCCTTCTGCACATGTGTGTAGGGCTGAAGTCCTTGCACTGGGGTGTGTCTGAGGGCACCTCGTGGAGGGTCCTGCTGGAGGGAGGTGGGGAGCCTTCCGTGCAGGGGCCACTGGAAGGAAGAAACTAACTTCTGGAGCGTGAGGGAGCTTTGGGGTCAGGCAGAGGCACAGGGGAGGCTCTGCACCTGCTCGCCAAGGTTTTGTGGGTCATGGTTTTGGACTTGGGTAAGTCTGGTTACAGGCACATCGGTGTGAATCACAGCTTTTGTCTGCCATGGAGAGGTGTTCCTCATCCTAACAGCAAGCTCCTGGAAAGCCACGAAGAGAGAAATCCAAATCGAAAGGGACACCCAAAGGATACATGTAGGTTGTTTGAAAACATCATGGCTGTTGAAACCGGCCTCCTGCATCCTGGGGACCTGCCTCACACCTGCCTGCCAATGCCACGGGAGAAGGAGCAGAAGGGCACTGGGCTGAGATTTAGCAAGGGAGGAGCACAAGGGAAGCCTCCAGTGATAAAAATTGAAAAGAGGATTAAAAAGAAAGTCCTCACATCTCCCAGAGGTGCAGACAGGAGTAATTTCACCAGCTCCAGGGAGCGCTGCCGTGTGTCCGTGTGAGCGGGGAGCGTGCGGGGGCGGGGGTGCCCATCGGCTGTGGCCCTGGCCGAGTGGCACCCGCAGCAGCTGGGAAGGCTGACTGGTATGCGACCTGTTTGACTCCATGTCTGGAGGCCAGGAAGGACACAAGCTTCCCTGTGTTGTGCTTCATGTTTCGGGCTTTATACAAGCCACCTCTTCAGCAGACATAAAGACTCAGGAGAAACAGATGAAAACTTTACAGATTCCCTTCTGCTTGTGGTTACCTCCCCGCTGTGGCGTGATGGGGAAGGAACAGGGAGGCTGCAGGGCTACGTGATTGATGGGTGTTTGCGGTGAGTGTTCCTCTGCTGTGAAATGTCTCTGTCTCCCAGTTATTGCTGATTTCTCCTTGCTGATAGCTCAGCTGAGCACACAGTTAATTTGGGACTGCTGATGCAGGATGCTCGCTGTCCGGGAGCAGCTGATAATGTACTCATGCTGGGTTAAGATTTTCCAGAAAAGAATGCAGATGGCTTGGGCTGAGTCCTTTGGCTTAAGCTATTTTATTGATAGATGAAAGCAGTACACACAACCAAGTGATGGAAACCTTTAAAAAGAGTCCACCCTTACCCTGCCTTTTTAACAGTTCCTGCACTGATAACTTCTCTCCTTGTCTCTTGCGTGACCACAGTAGGCAGCTCTTCAGCCTTCCTTGTACGTTTTCTGCACAGAGGAGCTCTGTGCCCTCTATCATCCTCTTCTCAGCGTACCCCACAGAGATCAAGGCAGCCCTTCCAGACACAGGTTTTCAATCTCTTTTTCCTCCCACACAGCTTTCTTTTCCAGTGGATTCACTTTGCCAGACAATGGTTTCCAAAGAATCCATTCTAAATTTCCAATATTTAACATCAGATTTTCTAGTCTTGGAAACACTAAGTCATTGCCAACCCAAAGTTTAGGGACTGATTGCACAAGCAGACTAGCTAGCTGTTTTGAAGGGACAATAACTCTTACGAGCCAAGCAGTGGTGAGCAGTTGGCAGGTGATGAGGAACAACAGGATGATCGTTCCACTTGCACTGCCATAACCAGAGGAGACCAGGAGCGGAAGAGAATCACCTACTTACGGACCATCTGCATGGCACACGTCTGACTCTCAGATGCTCAGCCTGGGCTTCCTTTCTCTGGGCAATGGTCCACTGTAGCCATGGGTGAAGGGTGTGATTTATCTTACCCCAAAGTTTTTGTCTAAATCGGACAGAATATTTGTGTTCCAAAAGGTTCTTTTTTTTATGTTTTCACTATAAAAGGAGCCTAACTGAACTTCAGACTTTTTTACTAAACTGAATCTGTTAAAAAATGATAGCGGCCTTTACATTAAAGGTGTAGTTCTACCTAAGGCACAATCATTATCATTTGCCCAGTGTCCTAGTTAACAGGCAAAATCACCAGCAAGGCTCTCTGCTAGCAGCCCAGCTGCAAGGGAACTGCAGCCCATTGCTTTCAAGGATGGTTTTAGTACTCAAATCCATAAACTTTCACTCTACAGTAAATTGGCCACATAACATAATTCCACAGCAGCCCATCCCAACCCAACCTTTTCCTCCTCTCCTTCTGATCAAGCGTTGACCTTTATGAAGTGATAAGAAAAGACCACACAAAGATAATTTCTCCTAGTTGTCAGGGAGGAGCTTTGCCAGCCCCAGAAAAGTCCTCACGGTATGTTCTTGTATAGGAACCAAACCAGCAAAGTGCTATGGAAGGTGTTTGACTACCCCGACACGTGGTGGGAATTTAAACAAATGTCAGGTGTTGGTTTTGGAAAGTCACTGATTTTTGAAGACTGAGGTTTTGGGTGGTTATTTTTTTTTTTTCTTTCTCAGCAGCTGAGCATCATCATGACTGCCCTGGGAAAAAAGGAACGTTTTTTAAACTCTAATGAGCATCTGATGAATTTTGGATGATCCCAGGACAGCCATGTTAAAAAATGCAGCGTGGATGCTGAGTTGTGTTTTTCTGCAGTGTTGACATTGAATGAACTGGGTGCTTTAATGGTGAAATTGCACCAATTTAAATGAAGGAGCTGATAAAATGGATGTCTAAAGGCAAATTTCTCCTATTCAGCTAAACAGTGGGGATCTTTTACACTCACAAACTGCTTTTCAACAAAGCTTCATCAAGATAAGCACAAATAAAATCAATCTATCTCACACATCTGTGACACAGGAAATTTTTTTTACCTGTAATTTACAACTTGGGGTAAAGAGAAGTTAAGCCATTTTTTTTTTTTAAATTCCTCTGGTTATATCTATTTTTGGCATGGTTGTTATAGAAGGTGGCTGAATATCTCTCAGGTGTGTTGCCTTCTCTATGTGTGCCCTGAGATGGTATCAGTAGACGTTTGCAGAACTTTAGCTGGTCTGTCTCCTACCCAAGAAAATGCAGTGAGGCTTGCTGGGTTATGGACTCCAACACCATTTACAAACAGTTTTTGCCATTTCTTGTGCGTAGGTGCCATCCTTACGTTGGTGTTCAGTAGCAGCAGTCAAATGTGATTGAGCAGTTTCTGCCCTTTCCTCTCAGACCTTTGTAGATGCATTAAGCGGCCCACGAAAGACGTAAGGAGGCTGTGCGTGCTGCTGGGAGCATGCCTGACTTCAGCACAGTTTGAGGGCACCTGCGTGCTCTCAGGGGCCGTGTAGGAGTCTCAGTTACTTACATTTGTTTAATAACGTAGTCCCTTGAATGCGCTACTCTTACTGGATTGCCTTGTGCGTGCATTTTGCGAACTTGGTGTGACTTCAGGGCTCATTTCCACTAGCTGAGGGGCAGAGATGGAAATGGGGAAGGATGGTCCTGAAAGCAGTGTTTTGCTTTCTTACAGCAAAGTGAATCAAGTCTACCCTTGACAGGGGTGAGGGTGGAGTGTGGGTGACACCACACTGCTCTGAAGCTTTGGTCTTTGCCTCCCTAATTTGCACTAGTGTAACTGAGAAGAATATACAGGATTTTAAATCTTGCCTTATCACTTTTTTGCAAACTAACGAATGACTATTTTGGTCCCTACCCTCCTCTTACCTAAGTCACCTCTCATTTTCCTGTGAGGTGACCTTTACAGGGAGGCACAGCTCCACTTTCCCCAATCTCAGATTAGGGCAGAGGCCAAATCAGGGATGCTCCAAGGACTGGAACCAAACTCTTGGCAGTGATTTGTGTCTCATAACATGATACCACAGTATGGCATCTAGTGCACATTCTGCTTCTTTGTTAAATAAACAATATGGAGAAAGAAGGTTTTTTTAAAAAATTTCCTGCTCTTTCTGTTCCTTTTGATTTGAATTTTCTTTAGTACCAAAGTTTGGGGAAGGGGGGAGAGGGAAATCCTCCAGAGGTTGCAGGAAAAGGAGAAAGATTAATTTCTTAATATCCTTCACCAAGCAGAGATAAGGAACACTGAACCCCTGCTGACAGCAGGCTCTGTTTTCTTTCCGCAGTCTCCATTGAAGATATTCGGGATGTGAGGTCAGGCCATAAAACAGAAGGTATGGAAAAATACGCCAAGGATGTCCCAGAGTATCGCTGCTTTTCCATCATTTTCAAAGACCAGCGGAAAAACCTGGACCTCATCGCGAGTTCAGAGGAGGATGCCAACCACTGGATCTCTGGCCTTGGGAAAATCATAGCCCACAGCAACTCCATGAACCAGAAAGAGAAACTCCAACAGTATCCTTTGCCTTATAAAATGATTAATCACACACAAAGATGCACTTGTCTTTCTCTGTGGGTGGAGGTAGTAGACTAACCCCCTTTTTTCCTGTTGTCCCTGGGCACTGAGTTTTCTCTCACTGATTTTGCACTCGGGCCATCTCCCTGGTTTCCAATGCTTTTATCCCCTGTTTTATAGTGATACCAGCAAGAGTTCATTCAGGCTTCGCATAGCAACTTAAGCAAAGAATTGCCTCTTTCAGGGAGCTCCAGATAAAACAATAATTATTTTTTGTATTCTTCAGGGGTCTGTTTCACTTGCATTGCAGTGAACTTCAGGACAGGCACTTCTTGGCAAGGCATGAAAAGCCCGTACTGTTTAGCATGTTTGTCAGTAATACAAGGCGAGGAAACCGATTCTCCTCTTCCGACTGCCAGCTTTACTCTGGGGTAGCTCCACTGACATTAGTGAAATTACTCCTTATCTGCCTCAGCATGGGAGGAAGTTTTGCCCTGAAAGAATTTGCAATTGCTCTAGTGACAGTGCAGACATCAGAAAGGAAAAGTAGCAGAGCAGGACAGTGAATTAGTGGTGAAATGGAGAGCGAGTTGGTTATTGGGTGAAATCCTGACTCTGCTGAATTCACAGGGAATTTTCCCCAGGGCTGCACTTCACTCAGTAAGTTGCTTTGTGACCACAGCTCTCACATCCATAGAAGATCTGTGGGTGCAGTTTTTGATGGATTTTACGCAGTCCGTGTGTGTCTGAGGCCCTGACCATGACATATGAATCTGTTGGATGATTTCACCCTGATTTGACAGAGCAGCAGCAATTACAAAATACAAAGTTCCTTTAAGCTTCACAAAGATAGGGATCCAGCTATCAGAGAGGAAACCAGATAGTGTACTCGGAGAAGGCTGCGTGAGTTTCATGCCTTGTTCGATATCAAAGCATCTGTGGAGAGGACGGGCGATAGAAAATCCTCAGTTGGGGAAAATCACAAAGCTGGGGTCCGAGCCCGAGCAGGCACCAGGGAGTCTTGTCCTCAGTCAAGGTTCCACTCCATGTGGGTTCCCTGCTGGGTAATAACGTACTGAGGATGAAGGACATGGTGCATAAATGCTGAGCTTTACTCTTTGGTAGATTCTCTGAAGTCTGGTAAGCACTTTCCCAGCCATAGTGCTGTTCATTTAAAGGAATCAGACTCCGTTAGTTCGGACGCGCATGAGATGCTGTGTTTATCTCCTGCATGATGAGTGCCTTTTTGGATGGTTTTCCAAGCTCTAGGCTGTGAGGTCATTCCTCAGCAGTGTTATCAGTTGTGTGTCCATGGTGGTAGGGAGCAGTCCCTAGACCAGTTGAAATCTTGAGACTGGTGCTGTTGGAAATGTGGCACCCTGGCAGCTTTCTTTTTAAATGTGAAGGCTTCTCCCACCCCCCACCCCGTGTGGGGAAGTCTGGGCTACAATAAGTTGTCCCTGGAGCATGTCTAATTGAATATATTGCTGAAAAACTTCGCCATAAGAAGAGACAAGATTGCTAAGGGGGGAAAAATAACAATGACATTTGCAAGGGAAGAAGGCTGTAAATTTCCAGCGTGGAAAAGTGCCTCTCTGGCTTTGGAAAGCAGAATCGAAGCTAAACAGGGTGGGTAGGCAAGCCGTATTTCTGGAAGAGTAATTACCGTGCAGTGCTGGCTTCCAATCTGGGATTGTCTCAGGCCGTTTAACGTAACCTGGAATTACAGAACAGCATGATTTCTCATTTGAAATTTGATGATGTTTAATTAAAGCCTGGGATTTTAAATTTAGTCTGTCTTCACTGGGTTTGCTTGGCAGTGTGGGCTTACTCAGATCTTCCTTAAACCTCAGAAGTGTTCTCTGCATCTGTGAGCACAGAAGGGGAAGAGTCAGTAGACGAGGAGAAGTGCTGGGTCCCCTGCCTGTCCCCCATGACTGGAGAATTGCCTTGCAGTGTGTCTTTTCCAGCCTCCAAAACCTTGCAAAGCAAGTGCAGAATGAGCAAACTTTGGAAAACAAGTACCGAAAGCAAAAACCTTGCCAGTTTCAGAAGGGTTTGTTCAGTTTATAAGGTGATGGATTTTCTTATGGTAGCAAGGGACTTGATTTATGTGTCCTTTCCAGTCCTGTATTCTTACAAAGATAAACATCCCACATGCTTGAGGAGTACTTCTGATGTTCTTGTACACACAGTAGTGTTTTATGAAGCCTCAGATTCAACCCTGCAACAAGCTGGGGTAGGTTATTCAGTAAATACTGCAGGTATGTGTTCAGGGAAGACTTTAGACCAGAAAATACAGGGGACTTTTTGTTTGAGTCGTGTGGCACCGTCTGCTTAGATTCTGGGGTTTATGTATGAGCTTTTCTTCTGGTTGGAAATCACTTCCCAGAAGTTTTGCAGCATTTCTGTTCTGAGCACATTCATGGGAAATCTGCCAGAGAGTTTCAGTCATCCCTCTCTGGTTTCTAACAGAAAGCTGGTAGCCCTGAAGCTGGCAGATCCTTTAAAAACAAGAGGCAGGCAGCAGGCTCTCTCTGCGTGTATATAGGAATGGGAACAGCTTTTTCCTAGTCCACCCAGGCCCGGATAGGTGCATAAGGTGAGAGGAAGACCCACAACCAGGGCTGCAAAATGGTGTTTGTATCAGAGGAGAAGAACTGAAGTGCCTAGTTCGTCCAGCTCCTTTAAGCTCTCTCAGACCGGAGGGGATCCAGCTGCATGGGGAGCTTGGGTGTTTTAGGGACTGAACACTGCTGCTCTCCCAAACAACAGCTGAGCTGTCTGTAGTCTGCTTTTTCTCTCTTTGCTGCTTGCCCTTGCAGGGAGAGGGCTCACTGTGTGCCTGTGCTCCTCTTGTGCTCTCTAATTTCCCACCTACACCGCTCAGCCTCCCTGGGAGGGATGTAACAGAAAAGCATCCTCCCTTCGCAGGCAGGGCCTGGGCATACTCTTTTGCAGATGCAATTACTGCCCACATGTTGCCTTCCAGAGTCAACCTTGGATATGTGCATGACCTCTGGGCGCTCGTGATCAGTGGAAATGACTGGAGAGTTGCCTTCCAGAGTCAACCTTGGATATGTACATGACCTCTGGGCGCTCATGATCAGTGGAAATGACTGGAGTCTTTTAAAAAACAGGTGGTTTTGCAGCGGTTAGAGCACAATTAGTTTCTACACACAGTGTCATCCAGCCCTGCTGCTCACCTCTGGCTGTGACAGACCGGATTTCCTCTTGGCTCGCTAAAGCTGCACATTACTCCTGCATGTTGTTTTTAGGGAAGCCTGTGAAGGGGAGCTGAGGTGCAGGGGTTGGGTGTGAATGGGTGGCACGGCCGTTGGCACCTTGTTGACATGCTGAGCAGCCTCTCCTGGCAGCAGAGCTGTTGGAGGGGGTGTTCTCCACCCTGGGGTGGATGGTGATGTGCTCCCAGCAGAGCATCCTCTGCGCGTGGGAGCTTCGTGACTGGAACTTAGTTTTATGGGAAGAATCAGTCCAATCCAGACCCTGGTTCAGGGCCTCGGAGTGTCCTTGGGAGCTGGGGAAATGTAGCCTCTCTTTATTTTGGTTTCCGTGTCTATAAAGAAGGGGAATATTAATATTACCACGCTAAGACGGATGTGGTGTGAGGTCATTGCTTAGCACCTGCCAAGATTTTTGAAGACAGAAAGTTCAGCTTTCCATGAGACAAACAATACTTACAAACAGTTTACACATATCTCCATACTTTGGCAATATTGGAATGTAGTGGTAGTTGTGGTGAGAACTCTGTTTCAGGGTTATGTCTACAGCCCCTAAGGCTGTCAGTTAATGCCCTTTTTTGCGGTTATTTTGAAAGGCCCAGTTAAAATGTTATGGTACTACATACCTCAGCTGGTATTTGCTAATCCTGAGGTTTACTCTGCTTAACATCCAGACTGGGCATTTTTTAGAGATTTTTTTAGAATGAGTTTGGAGCAGTGCTTCCTATGCAAGACATGGAGAGTTACATTCATGGACATCAAATTGTTACTTTGATCACTTTTCTATTGAAAAATAGGAGATTTTTCTGGATCTTTATTTGACAGTAAAGTGAATTAGAGAGACACAGTTCCCTGATGCAAAAAGCATGGGTTTTTGTTGTTTAAAACTGTATTTCAACTGACAAATACTGTTTTCCCAAGAGACTGCGAGAACATGAGAGACCCAGTTCAGATTAACCAGCATCACATTAAAAACCTTGTTTTTTATAGTAATTACTCCAGATCTGTAGGTAAACTAAAGTTATCATAAACCAAGCTCTTATGAACTATTATCACAGTGTGATACAGTAATAGATCCTGTGCATTTCACAAGAGGAAGCTAAGACCCACAAAGTTTCGTTTGATTCTGCTCACCACAAAGTTCTGAACACATATAACCAGAAATCCCTAAATAAATATGGAAGGTGAAGGTGAGTCCAAAAATTAACATTAATGCTTTTTTTTGGAGAATCCATGTTCAGTGTTCAGCTTGCTATACGGAATATTGGTGAAATCTCTAACAATCAGTTTACCCCACTTGGGAGCTCTTTTCATCCTTCCTCTATCCCCTTTTAACAGTCTGGAGCAGAGTGTGCTTTCTGTCATAAAAGAGAAATCAGACTGTTTTGTGATGTGGCTGTGGCCAGAGACTCCTACAGGGTAAAAAGAGCTGATCCAGCCCTGGCCAGATGGTGAAAAGCTTCTCCTGGGTCATGATTGCCTGTAATACAGCGCATTTTGGTTCTGCCAAAGCACCGTTTTGCTCTTTCAGAGCAGAAGGTGAAATGATGTAAGCTGTCCAGTGATAGCATGCTGATTCACAGCAGCTGGAGAGGTGGCTCAGAGTCTTTAGAAGAGATTTCCCCCACACCATGGGCAGCAGAAGGGTGATATTTAGGCTAGGCATTGACCTAGAAAGATTTCCTTACATCACCCTGCAGCTGGATTCATATCTGCCTGCGGAAAGCTGATAAAAACAAAGACAACAAGATGAGCTTGAAAGAGCTCAAGGACTTCCTGAAAGAAGTGAACATTGAAGTTGATGACTATCATGCCAAGAAGATTTTCCAGGTAATGAGAGCAAGCAGCTAAATTTTTTGCCGTTGGCTGAGGTCAGGGTCTCACACAGCTTTCAGCTATGGCTGGAGACCTAAGCTAAAGTGAAAAAAGCAAAGTTCAAGTACACTTTGAGTCCCAGGTTTTTCAGGAGTTCTGCGTGCCACAGCACATGACAATGCCTAAGTCTGGCTGAAGTTGGTTTGGTTACAATTATGAACCCAGATCCTCACCTTTTCAGAGGAGGAGTGTGCCAAGTGACAGGTGTAAACAAAAAGAAAGTGCAAATTAAGAAAAAAACCCTTAGATTCATGATAGATAAACAACACTGCACCCAAGCCTGGACTAATCTGGTTGATTTAATAGCCCATGGTGTTTTTAATCTGGTCAGGGACATACACTTCTAAATTCTCAATATTCAGCTCGCTGGCTGAGCCTATCAGAATGTAAGAAAGAGATGAAAATTTTTCGATTGTTATGTTTTTGGTTTACCTCTAAAGAAACCTTCCAGCTGAGGTGAGATAAAATGTCTGGATAATTTCCAGACTTCCATCCTGTCTGAAGCAGGATTTGAATCCATGTGTGGGCAGTTTCAGAAATGCTTTTTCTAATCACTGGTAAATGTGTGGGTGGTTTTGGGCACCAGGCAGTAGTTCTCCTGCTCCTTCCTGTAAGCAGGCAGCAGGGAAGGTTGGCAAGCTCTCAGTAGGACCTTTCTGCAAAGGAGGTACAAGTTTCCTAATCCTTGCTTTATGGAAATCTCTCTCTCTTTCTCTCTGGTAACTCTGCAAGAACTGAGGGAAGGTCATCAGCAGATCTTAAAGAATTTCACCTTGCAAAATCTTCCAGATGTACTGCCTGCTCTGGCTGGCAAATCCCATGCTTTGTTCCCTGCTCAGGAAGGCCCTGGAGGAATAGCAGTAAGGCTGGGGTTCCTCTGACCGAGTTAGATGTCTCCGGTACATACATCTGCATTGGAAGCAGTCACCAGCACTTGCACTTCCTTTGCAGTCTGTGTAGCTCAAGCCATTAATCAAGACCTGGGTGTGATTCACCTCATCCTAAAGGATACATCTCACACAGGTCAGATGAATTGCTCCCTACATCTTCAAACGTCAAACATCTGAAAAGACACCATTGTTTTTCAGAGGCACAGTCTCCTCTTCGTTCAATGAACCTCTTTTGCTATTTCAGTAGTTACTAGAGAGCTCTAGGAGTGGAAACTTTTGAAGTTCAGTTCTCTTTTTTGCTTAAGAACTCCAAGTAATTTCTAAACCTTGATTGAACCCATATAAATGCAGGCAGCTAGTGGAATTACCCTCATTAGGCATGTAATTGTTAGAAGTTTTCTGTATAGCCACTGGAAAGAGAGGCTCTTTGGAGGTTAATTCAGATCTCTTGTGGGCTGAATTGCCTCCAGGAAGAGTGTGTCTTGCTCCTAAAGCAATTACATTTTCAGTTTAAGTATTACCTAGACTTAGATGGACTGAGAGATGTTACAGCATGTTAAAAGGGTGATCTTTTCTGCCTTAGTGACTTTTTCTTCATTTAGTCACAGGAAGGAAGGGTGATCAAGGATTCAAGCAAGAGCTATAGTGCATGTTCTCACATTATTCTTGCTTTTTGTCACATGACTGTGTCCACATCCAGGTTTTGGACACACCTGAGTAAGACATAGGCAATGCAACCAGAAACTGTGCAAAGCTCCTCTAATTGCTCACTTCCTTTCAACCTGAATATTCATTTTGATGCGTCAGAAAGGTTCTGACTTTTTCTGGCAGGACAGGGTTCATTCAGAACTCATGGTTCACAATCTGTACAAGTGAGGTAAAACACAGTATTTTGGGTTGAGATTCTCTTTCTAATTTGGAGCTATTGTAGCCCAAGCAGAATGAGCTCACTTTTATACCATCCATCCGATCTGTCCTGGAATATGACTATGATGCCAATGCTATTGTCCTATTTCCATCACACCCTTTAAAGGCCACTAATGAACAAAATTCCCAAGGCTAATCACTTATACTGCCAGTTATCTAGAAGTAATATGTCATTTTCCCTGTTGTGTCTTAAAGAATGTCTGCCATTCACAGCATCCCTGCAGTCTGCACCAGTTGGTTTCCCTCTTTATATTCCTTTTTCAATTGCTAAGCATCATGCTTAGCTTAGCTTGTGAGATTTGCCAAAGCCACAGCACAGGATCATAGACATGGAAGGCTGCAAGGAAAAGACAGTTCCTGGTCTGCTCAAACCTGATTTGAAGGTGTCTGTAGTACTCAGAATTTGCAGGATGTCCCATCACTGAGATGAGCCCATAGCTTTTACCTAGCAGATTTGGAAGTCAGAACAAGTTGAACTTTCTGCTATCAGTTCAGTTTGTGAAATGCTGTGCATCATGATTATTTTGTTTGGTTCTGTTAGTGCACCATAAACAGATAGTGGAGGACTCCAGCAGAGGATTTGCAGGGGATGAAAGTCTCTCATTATCATCTTGCTTGGGGCACTGCCAAAGCCACCGTGGCCATCACTGAGACCGTTAGCAGAGTTAGCTTGAGATTAGTATGATGACTGGTTAAACTGAGACATGCATTTTGGTCATTAAACCCAGGACAATAGCTCTATCTGTTATAAGAGATCAAAGATGAAAAGCAGTTTAATTCCCCTGGTTTGACATGTTACCATCTGTCAGCGAAGTCGAGGTAACTGATAGCAAGTGCTCCATAGCAAGGGTGGAGTGAAATGCACCACAACCTCCTCTGAGTGTCCTGGAGCACAGTTTCCATTCCAACTTCAGGCCTAAAGAGAAGTTCTTAGGCCAAAGACGAAGTAAGGCAAGCCATGTCCTGCAGGGTTTTGGCCATGCCAGAAAGGAGATTTTTCAGACTTACCTGAAATATAAGATGTGAGTGGGCTGTATGAAAGGAGGACACCACTGCTAAGGGCCTGTTTGCTTGCTTTAGATATTGAGGGAGAGGGAATCATGATAATAATAAGTCAGTAACTAGAAGTGGGTTGACTGCAGAAATTTGCAGGGAAAAACACTTGAAAGCAGTACAGCGCTCCTTGCTCATAAAAGATTCCTCTGAAATAGGCTCTTGCTTTCCTTTGCAGCTTGTTTTGCTCAGCCTCTATTAAATGCAGAGGTTTACATCCCAGAGATGACTGAAAAATAGTTGTTCACCTCTCTATGGAGAATTCTGCTAGGAACAGGCAACAAAATTCATATGAGGATTTGCCACAGAAAAACTGTAATTTCTGATGAAAAAAATAATCTGGGAATATTTTAAATAAATTGGAAATATTTGTTGTTGGAGAAGGTGTTACCCTTCGTGGAGACACTAACACGCATAATTTAAACTGCTCATCTTTCATGGTCAGCCAAGTCCTTGACTGTGATTCTCTGTCAGAGCTGTTATCTAGTGGAGAAGTTCAAACCACAGAGAAACATGGGGGCATGAAGAATTTGAATTACAGCTCCCTGAGAAGCTGATATCTGATCTGAAATTTTGTGGAGATTTTTGCAGCTTGGAGGTTTTTCAACAAGAAAGGAAAAGTTCCGTGGAAAGAGGGAGTTTTTCATACCTAAACACGCACGTGGTTAGCAGGACTTTTTTAAAAGTCAGTTTTGATGCCAACTTTGCAACCAGCCTACTACTGGCCTTGACAGTCTTTTGAGACCTAAGAGCTCAAACCCACTAAGACTGAGCGGAAGGCCCTTTTCACTTTACTCACTGGGTTTTAGGCCATGGTCTCTATCAATAGTTAAAGATGCATTGAGTTAATTGTTTCCCTACATTCTTCCAACTCTTGAGATCAAGAGGTACATTTCTTTTGAGCCTGGATTTCTACTTAGATTGTTGGGAGCTGTTGTTTTACCTTATGGTTTGCACAGCACAGAGTGCAGTGGAGCTCAAGGCCATGCCGGGTGTTTTTCAGCACACTGATAATATGAGTAAATAATAGTAACTGTAACTGTTATATGACTGTTGGCCTTGTCAATGGGAACCATTGTCATTGACCAAGTGCTTCTCATTCACTGGGCAGTAACTCTTTCCAATTATTTTGTGTTCTGCATTGTGTAGCCCTGGTGCAGATTACGGCTGGCGTATGCCAGAAGGAAAGAAGGTTTTCACTCCTTCTCCCCTCTACGTTTACAGCACTGTGACAAGTCCAAAACAGAGGCTCTGGAGGATGATGAGATAGAGGAATTTTACAAGATACTGACAGAGAGGAAGGAGATAGACAAGATCTTCCAAAAGTACTCAGATACAGAAGGGTTCATGTCCTGCCAGAACCTGGTGAGGTTCCTCTATGAGACACAGCGAGAAGAAGATGCTGTTGTTGCTGCCCCTGCCTTAATTCAGAGATATGAGCCCAATGAAAGAGGTAGGTTGGAAACCTTGGCTGGTTTGGTTCAAAAGCTTGCTTTCTTGATGAACTATGAATTGCTTTGCTGCTGCTTTCTTCTGCAGCTGTTTGTGTCATCTTGTACTCGCAGCTGCTTCTAAAACACCAGTCTCCTAGGGGAACATTAGCAGCTCTAGGAGAGGGGAGGATGGGAGAGCCTGGGATATATTTCTTTTCAGTTTTGTCTTGGGTACACCAAGCAGCTGGAGAGGGGTTGACACAGAGTTGGCTAGAGGGTGATAAAATTCCTGAGGGAAAGGCTCTGATGGCTTATTCAAATGTCAAGACCTCACGTGGCTTTGCAAGGTTGAGAATGTAGCAATATTTCTGTTCTCCAGAAGTAGCAATGGAGGCAAATGTTTCTGAATGTGGGCACCTGAAAAGCCATTGGGTGATGAGATCTTTGAGTGGAGGGCCAAGAAGGTGACAGCTCTTTAGCTGATCAATCACAGAACTGTCTTTCTGCTCAGAAATTAAGTGAATTTCCAGTCTGGAGCACCTTGGAGGACATGTTCAAGAAACAAAAACAGGATCGTAGACTGTTTTTTTCACTATCCTGGTATACCTTCAGGAGAGGGACAATGCTTTTCAGATGTCAGACTTGGGGATTAGACTGAGATCTAGCTCAGTCCCTCAAGATGGGGAGATCCCAATTTCTCCCCAAAGTTGGACAATTTTGCATTTTCTCTTTGCGAATCATGTATTCATTAGATAATCTAGACAGGATAGATCTGGCTATGTTTAGACATCTGACAGCTTCTCTGTGTTGGCCTGAAGGAAGCTTGAAGTGCTCATATGGAGATTTTTATACTGTAGATCTCTAAAGAAAGGTGAGGTAAGTGCTGTCTTTGACACTTCTAAGGTGTTATCAAGAACAGTAAGCGTTGTAAAAAGCCATGCTTGTGAAGGGGTTTTAAAAGCATGTTCAGGCAGATAAAACTCTTACCATCATCTGAACAGCATTAACATCTTTACTATTAGCTGAATGCCTAGGGAGCACATTTTGCTTTTGAGATCCTCTAAAGAGCAGCAGGCATCATGGTGAAGATGATGGCACAACCTGGTGGTGTCAGATTTTCAGTGTGGGGTTTCTGTCTGTTTATCTGGCAGCCAAGAGGGGTAACTCCATGACCAAAGATGGTTTCTTGATGTACCTGCTGTCCGATGATGGGAATATATTCAGCTCCTCCCACCGTAAAGTTTACCAGGACATGACTCAGCCTCTCAGTCATTACTTTGTGTCATCCTCACACAATACCTATCTCATGGAAGACCAGCTCACAGGTCCAAGCAGCACAGAAGCCTATATCAGGTAATGTATTGTGCATGTATTTATGTGTATGTGTGTGTTTATGTATGTGAGAGGTTGACCTCTTTCTTAGAGAAGACATAGAGTGTCTCTAAACTGCTAGATGCAAGAGGACCAACAAGCAATCTCTCACCCCGAGACCAGGTAGTGTGGACTGGCCCGTGTTGGCATCAGGATGAGCCATTTCTAATGTGTATTGTATTGCCCAGAATATGGCATGAGATGATGTGGGCAAGGAGTTTGCAAGGTGCAAATATTTCTTGGATAGAGCTGCAGGACTGTGTAGGGACTGGAAGGAGCCAAAATGATGCATCCTGTCACGATGTTTATGATCTGTACTGCCATTTGGGTGTAGCCCCTGGCATGGACTATCCCTAGAACCATGTTGGAGTTTACTTTGGAGACACATAGTTGGAGTGGTCCAAAAAAAGAGTTGGGGTGTGAGCTAATGAAGCAGTGTGGGTGATCAGGAAACTTCTGCCTGGTGCCTCTTTAGCAGCTTAGATGCTCTTACAGCACCCTTGGACAGAACATTAGGTGTTGCCTACTTCTGCCTTTAACAACGACTGCTGTCTGACGTCTCATGATCAGATGTTTGCAGCAGCCTTTACTAACTTGCACAACCACCTGACATTACTTCTGCCATGACCTGTACTTTTATTAAGTGAGACAGTGTTTCCTTATAAGCAAGCCAAAAACTGCAGTTCTGTCTCTGTTTATTACTTATCTGATTCTCAGGGAACAATGACTGTCTGGAGTCATAAGCTCAGAAGAGTAAAGAGCGAAATCTGGCACCAGCTGCTTTTCAGTAGCCATTTGAATCCCTCTTACAGTGTCTTAAAATTATAGAATTATGTTTTGGTTGTAAAAAATAAAATCCCATGATTCGTATTACAATGAGTTAAGGAGCTGTGTTATCTGAAATGTATAGAGAGTTACTGTAAAAGAGACAAGATCATCTCCTAGACAGATAAGTCTGTACAGGGGGAACCTACATTTGAAAATAAATTAAAATGGAAGTATGGATACATAAAGGCGGGAGTTTCAAGTGGAAATTCAGTCTGTAGACTCAGTTTGGGAAACTGGCCCTCAGCAGTTTCTTCAGCTATGGTGGCTTTTCCACAGCTCCCTCCCTGACAGTTCTGAGAATTCATCTCTCATGTCTTATCAGATCTAGATGAAGAAGTCACATCATCCAGGCTGCATGACCTGGTTTCTAAGGCTGACTGTCTTACTGTCTTTCTTCCAATGCAGCCACTCTTTATTTTCTCTTCAATATCTTTGGGAAAAGACTTTGGACACAGTCATGAGTGTCCTTTCTCATCTGGCACTCACTTCTTCTTTGGATAATTCTTACCTTGGACTTTCCCTACTTCCTTTCTCAGTTCCCACTGTGCTTTCCTTGCTCATCCTTGAGCTCTCTTTGCTGACTCTGAGCTCTCCTGATCCCATCCTTTCTCCATCTGCTTTCTTGTTTTTCCAGGCTCCTCTTTTCTCCCTTGCTCCCTAAACTTCTCATTACCCTTCTCAGGCAATACCTGTGCCTCATGCACCCTCATTTGGAGATGGAGCAGGAGGCTTACAACCCAACCAGGTCCCTTCTTTGTTTCCAGAGCCCTCACCAAAGGCTGTCGCTGTGTGGAACTGGATTGCTGGGATGGCCCTAACTCAGAACCCGTCATTTATCATGGCTACACTCTCACCTCCAAGATCCTCTTCAGTGATGTCATTAAGGCCATCAAGAACTATGCTTTCAAAGTAAGGACGAGGCACCCTCTAAGATTTCTCATATTGCACAATCCAAGACCGATAGTAGGTCTTTGCCCTCCCAGCAGAGATCATAAACAATGAAGACTTCACCTTAGCCTTTCTCATGGGTACGAGATGTGTCCTTCTGTCTGGACATTCATGTTCTGCTTTCTGCAGAGATCCATTCCTGGGAGCTGCTGGACAGGCAGAGCACTACCTGAGGATGAGTTTGAATCTATAGCAGCACCGCTGCATCCTGGACCCCACTACAATGAAAATAATGTCCAGTATCTTGAGCATACTTGGTGGGAAATATAAACAAGCCCATGATTTGGGTGGCCATTCCTAGTTTAGAGAACACATGTGTGTATGTTTTGGAGGGACTGATGTGAAGGACTGCTTCTACTTTACTTTAAATGAAATGAGCAGGTCTGGAGTCTTGTGTGGCGGTGCTGGGCCAGCAGCCCTTAAAAAACCTTGGCTCTGTCCAGACTCACTGGGCTTTCTGCTGTTTTCCCTCAGTGTCCTTGACTTAAGAGCTAATATCAAGTTTCCTTCAGAGCTATACAGCAGTGACAATGACAATGCCTTCAGCACAAAAAACGGGTGGGAGAGAGGCACAGGGAACTATTTCAGGTCTATGCACAAATGAAGCAAGGATTCATGTCACCTAAGGATTTGAGCAAACCCAGTAATTTCAAAGCCTCCGTTCCCAGTCTGTCCTCTGAGGTAGGAATGTGCTCTGACCCACTGTGCAAGTGGAGAATGGAGGCACAGGGAGCCTCATCAAAGTGCCCCAGAAAGTCTGTGGGAGGCATCCTGACCCAGCCTGGTGCCCTGTCCATTGGCTCATCGTTTCTAGAAGGCATCAGCAGAGATCTGATTAGCTACTGCACAGTTAAATTTATCCGTTTTTTAAAAAATGCTCATTTTACCAGTATACTAGACTCTACTGTCGACACACTCATTTCCAGGGAAAACAGCACTGGGGTTTATATAAATTGCTATAGACTGGTGAAATTTCAGAGTTCACTGATGATATATATGTTGCTGTCTTGTTACAGACCTCGCCATACCCTGTCATCATATCCCTGGAGAACCACTGCAGTGTCGACCAGCAGAAGGTCATGGCTCAGCACATGACAACAATCCTGCAGGACATGCTCTTGGTTGCCCCAGTTGATGGAAACAAATCCCAGTTCCCCTCCCCAGAGGTAAGCATGGCCACTCTAGCACTTTCTTCCTTCTGAGGGTGGGACAAGAGAGAGGTGTCTCTTCTTGCTGGGTGCCAAGTGGTGGACAATATGCCTGAGGACTGGTGGGAACGGCACTTGCTGAAGAACAGAGATTGTCTGTGGACAGTGGTGGAATAAGAAATAGGAGTATCTAAAAGTAGCCTGTGCACATCAAACACCAGAATGCCCTGTTGCTCCTTGTTTGTTGTCTAAGGTCTCAGAGGAGACATCCTTGGGGGACTGTGGACATTCCTGGTCCATTTACCAATGCCACGGAACGTCCTTCATCCCATGAGAAGGTTGCTTTCTGGCTTGTTGCAGGGGAGCTGAATCCTGAAGGTCTGTCTTGTGTCTACTCCTCACACCTCAAAGCTGAATATGACCTTCTTCAGGCTAATCCTCTGAAGCACAGTTAGGTTGCTGCACACTACAAGGTGTTCTGTGCTTTTGATCCAGCATGACTGCGCAATGCCTGATTTTGTGGTGGGTCAGATGTTTTGCCCTGTGCTGAGGGATATGACATCCTTTAATGCCTTGGGTGCTCTACTGTGGAGACCCAGACTGCTGATTAGGAAGCGATGAGGGCTGGAAGGATAGCTGTGATTGCTAGGCCCTCAAAACTCAAGAGGAAAACTAGTACAGATAGCCTAAAACTATGATGTCAAGCATCAAGCGTCCTCCCACTGAGAATGGCTTGGGGTGGTGGGGATGGTGTTCCCATGGAGATGTCCATGGAGGACAGGCGGAGGCAGGAGGTTGCATAGAGATGCCCCTTTGATTTCGACGAATCAAGGCAGTGAGCTGAGCTCGGACCCTGCAGGCAGAAGGAGATGTGCAGCCCTCAACAGTGGACCATCACTACAAATTCATTAGCTGATAATTAGAAACAAATTGGAAATGGAATCTTGATATGAAAAGAAAAAGTTTCCAAAACAGAAGTCAAAATGAAACATTCATCTGTTTCCACCCTTTGGGTTTGTGTTTCCTTTCTTTCTCTTCCCTTAAGCACCTTGCAGAAACACGCTTTTGTGTGGATAGCTGCAGTTCCCTTTAAAATGTGTTTCTTTGCTAAAGAAAACCCTTTGCCAAAAATTGGATGAGAATGCCTAGCCAGAGCTGGAAGGAGTTTGTGGGTGGGATCAAGCTGGCAGTCAGCAGGGAAGAAAAAAGAGGAAAATGATCCACCCAAAATATCTTCTCTACTTGTTCTCCCTCTCCCTTTTTCTGTTTTCTCTCTCTGGCTTTCCCCTTTCATTTGGAAGTGTCGTGCCTCTCTTGGTACAATGCCTAGCACAGAGGGAAGCTGATCTGTGTTGGTCCCTAGGCACCAGTGCAATAAATTAGGATGAGTCATATTTTTTAAAGCTGCTGTTTCAGCGGGACCTTTGCACTGGCGCAGACGAATTGCCTCCGTTTAAGAAGTGAGGATACACCCAGCATGGAGACAGGTCTTTGCGGGCTGTTACTGAGTTGGAAAAATCAAAAGTCTTCAGTGTCACCTCCTGGCTTGCTATTTATCCTCGGTGCAGTATCACAAAAGCTGCTGATGGCTTTGCAAAACACTGCCTTGTGAGCAGAGGAATGATGGGAAGAAAGAAAGGAGAAACACCAGGGAAAGAATTGTGTGATATGTGTGTAGGGGAGTGATCCCATCTTCCCAAAGATGTTTTTCCCATTCCTGTGGTCGTCTAACCTCCTGCTCTGATTGCCCAGATGGACACGTGGCCCCAGCTGGAACGGGAGGGCATATATCTATTTAGTGAATGGATTTGGGCTGATGATTGGCTGCGTTGCAGGGACTGATCTGTTTGGTTTAAAGGGAGAAAAATTGCCAACGTAACAAAACCTGTCCTTTTCCCTCTGGTAGTTTTCCTCTGCCCTCCTGTTATGTGAACTAGGAGAGTGCAATGGGCTGAACTGCTGCAAGTGCACTGAAGCTGAAACGCTAAGGAAAAAAGCAAACAATCCAGAAACCTCTTGGATTTTCCACTTCCTTGTGAAGCTGACATGGGGAAGCCAGGGACAACGCAGTCTTTTATATATTAGAAAAAGGGTGGGATCTGCCACTGGGGAGAGGGCTGAAAAGCTGTAAATAAAGACAGACAAAGCATTGCTGCAGATTGTGTTAGTGGGGTAGTGTCAGTAATTAAAGGAAGATTGACATAGTTTAGATTCACACTAACGATTCATACCACAGCCCAGGGCAGGCATCTGATTTATTAGGTTCCATTTAGGAAGTGTTGGGCTACACAGAGCATCTAAATATCTCCCTCAAGCTACTGCCTTTAGGTTCCACTAGTAAATTAAAGGCCTGTAGGATGAAAGCCCAAAAGCCATGCAAAAGCTCCAGGCAGTGTCAGGGTTGAAGGGAAGGGCTGCTCTGGTGTCTGCCGCTGATTGCTTGTTGCAGGCCCTCCTGCCCCATCCCTGATCTGCACAGGGGTCTGCCAGGGCCCATCCCTCCTGTCCCTGCATCCCAGCTAGAAATGCTGCAAAAACCCAGCCCTGGAACAAGACTAAAACAGCTGCCAAGAGTGCATGCAGCTGTTCAGCATACCTGGTGTATCTGAAACCCCTCCAGCTCTTTGTTGCTGTTCTTCCTTCTTTACAATGACAGCCACTTTCTGTTTAACAGACCTGTCTTGGTAGGTGACCCTTAGGACCATGAGCCCCTAGATTGGGAGCCCCAGTGCAGCAGCAGGGGCCTCTGCCACCCTGCACCTCCACTGTCCCACCAGTCTCATCCATCGCTGTGTCCCGTGCCCCCATTCAGCATCACTTTGAGCCACGCAGCTCAGGAACCAGTTCCAGTATAGCAGTGGCAATGCAGGGCTCAGCACAACTGATCTGAGGTAGCAGGGTGGCTGATGTGCTCTGCCCAGTGCTCACAGCAAGGTGGCAAACACCTCTAGATTTGCCTCAGTGAAATCCAGAGCAGGTTCAGCCGCAGGTCTCAAGTCAGCAATGGACCCTGGGAGCCATCTGCCTGGGAGGGTTACTTCTGCATCATACACTCAGCATGAATGTGGCTTCAAGTCCCTCTGCCTTGTGCCTAATTCCACATCTCTGCCTTTCTCCAAGGTTAGCCCAGCTTGTGTCATCCTTCTCTGCAATGCATCTTCTTGGCCGAAGTTCTTGAGCTGAGTTTCCCTCAAACCTCTCAAAACCTCCTTCGACAATGTGTTTCTTCCACTTTTCTGGGGACTCTCTTTATCCTTTTGTGCCCCCCATTGTTAAACCCTGCAACACTTCACTTGACAACCAGGCTGAAAGACATACACAGATGGAGATGTGATACCAGTTAGTGCATCCGATCTGCGCATCTCCTTATGAATGTGAACATGTTAATCCTCACAGCTTCTCAGAAATGTGGGGAGATGGATGTCTTCACCCTGAGAGCGGGACGTAAGGTGGCAGTTCTCAAACGCCGTCTATCCATGTACATGAGCACTTCACTTTGGGCTCTTTTGAGAACTAGTTAATTCAGCCAGGGGAGTTGGAGGTGTGGTCCACCTCCTCCTAAGTGTTTGCTTAAAGGGACAAAAAGAATTACACCCTGGGAGTGTTTAGTTCTCACTGTTGACTGTAAAGGAGGTGATAAAAGCACAGAAAGTTTGATGAGGAGGATCACTTTACAAATCTTCCACTCCCACTGAGATGAAAACTGGATATCAGACCTTGTCATGGCTTTCAGGTTGGTAATAGGTGCAAGAAATTTTCAGACAGGGCAAACTGTATCTGTGTATGCAGATCTTTTAAAATCCTCTGCTCTTCACACCTTTGCTCCTTCTGATAAAATCACCAGTGCCTTCATTTACGATGGTTGCTGTGCCCCAGTTCACAGACTCCCAAAGGAAGCAAAACCCTGCGTCAGAACCATTTCATTTGCAGAGCTGAGCTTGTTCAGCATGCACTAGAAAAGGCTGGAGAGCAGGGGAGCTCCGCTTCTGGAGAACTAAGGCAATCAGCCACTCCACTATACGCTCTCAGTCGTGTACAGTGTCCTTATACCCTTTCCCATTTTCTTCGGTTGTATTCAACCTTGGGCTTGCCACAGGCAGTCGGAATAACTTTATGGTCTACTTGTAGAATATTTATTATTTCAGCTAATGCTTCTTCCTAAGACAAGGGATGTGCTCAACAGAGCTGAACTGATGAGCTGAGTGTCTTTCACCTCAGGCTAGAAATACTTAATAACACATGAAGGGGAGCCAAGAGGGATAGAACAAGTGCATGTGTGTGTTTGTGTCTGTGTATATCAGCTTATTTAAAACCTTGTTAAAGAAGATAAGCACTCAGATTTTGGACTTTGCTTCCTAGAAGCCATATTAAATGAAGGAAGACAGTGTTTGGGACGGGCAGCTTCTGCAGGGTGGATTCAGTGCAATGCTGCTGTAGAACAGCACCTTCTGTAGGAAACAGAGATGAAAATGCTCTGGTTTGGGGTGAATCTCACCTCTCATTGTGAACCAGTCAGTTAATGCATCTCCTCTGGAGTTAGGTGGCACATGGACTGCTCTCCCTGGTAGGCACGGTGGAAGTCATCTGCACAGGGGTATGCTAAACCTCTGCAATGCAACAGGACTCCAGACGTCAGCCAGCCTCCTAGATTTCAAGGCCAAAAGGGGACCACCATAATCGCCCTTTGGAGAGCCTTATACAACACAGTCTGGGCTGACCAGTGTCCCTGTCCCCGTGGGGAGCATCTGCAGCAGTTGAAGGTTTCCCAGAGTAACCACAGTCTAGACAGGATAACAGCAGCCCCAATGACCCACCGCTGGCAGCCCTGGTATGGGGTGAGGAGACAAGGTGGAGGCCGCGTTGATGTGCCTTCACTGCTGATGTTATTCAGCCATCTAGGATGGATCTGTGTCAGAAAGTATGTCTCTCACTTGCTGGACAGGCTGTCCTGGACTGGATAAGTTTAAAAAGAGCTAGTAGCCCTACTGGTAATTAAGAATCAAGCAGCCTGCCCCAAATACCTTATTCCTAGTTCTCTACTGTTGAGCCGTGAGATGTGGTGGTAAGGTTTCTTACGGGGTGTCAGAAAGCAGAGGCAGATAATAATATGTAGCAGGATATTATCTGCAGCCTGTGAAGGACAAGAGAGACTTCTGTGCGTCGCTCCCCACTGTCCCCAGGGCAATCCCTCTAGGCTTGTCCGTTCACAGTATTGACAGGAGCACAGAAACTCACACAGAGCTGGATTTCACCTGCTACCGGTGGGTCTTGTGGAAGAGCTGGATGTTGGGGGCAGGAGGGTGGTTAAAGACATGCAAGCAGCAGACTGAAGTGAGACCCTGAAAATGAGCCGACTCATCTCCCAGCCATGGATGTGAAGCAGCAGGTCACGGCTCTGCCTGGAAGAGAGCTGAGGGTCTGGAAGGATGGAGGGTGGTGTAGCGACAGGAAGGAGGATACTGCTTATGCTCTGACTGCTCCTTTGGGCCTTTTATTCCCAGTACATTCCTTCCAGCTGCCTTTGTGTAGCTTTTGAGTGACAGGCGAAGTGCCCCGATGTAAACAGATCATTTGTGGTAGCTGAAGAAAAATGCTCTTGGCTGCTGCCTTGGGTGCCAGTGTCAAGTTTCAGCTCAGCCCAAGCTTCATCCACAGCTTAGCTGGGTGGTGAGGAGCTGGACTGGTCTCTGCAGAGACGTGATGCAATTTGCTTGCACCCGCAAAGGGGGAGCAGTGTTCTTTGAAAATGCCTGCGTTGCTTTATAAAATATCCTCGGTTTTCCACAGTCCTGTCATTTGAGAACGTTGCGTTTGCTGTTGTGGAAAGGGCAAATACAGGGTGTCACTGAAAGGCGGGGAGACGTGCTACGCAGGGTGAGGGGGTGTACTGGCTCATTCTGAGGCTGCGTTTTTCTGGAATAACCAGCGCCCTCCAAAGCCTGGGCTACTGAACACATCCACGTGGCAGCAAATCTCTCTCTGACTCCACTGGAAGCAGCAGGATCTAGGGGTGCTCCTGGGCTGAATTAACTGATTTTGCAGCATAGTCCACTCACTTGGGGATTGCACCCAGGCAGTCACCCTCCTTGGTACTGCTCCCTGCTGCCAGCATCGCTGGCATTTGGGGTCAGTCAGCCCTCTCCAGGCTTCAGCCTTCCTCCCACAGTCAGATCCTGCCCAAGAGACACATCAGTGGTACAGGGGTCTGTGAGCAGCCACGGGTGTGTTCCTTCACCTGAGGTTTTATGTGGACTTTGAAAGAGGCTGGAGAGAGTTGATTCAGCACAAGAAATGTGCTCCTTGGATCAGCTCAGTAGCCAGCTATGTTACACTGGCATGTGCTGCTGGTTATTATCAGTGTTGTGCCATGGCAGCAGCCACAGGATGAGTTCTTTTCAGAAAAGGAGGTGTCTTCGGGAAGGGTCTGGGAACTCTTCCTTAGGCTGTCAGCACCCTAAATTTTCACTTGCAAGGTCTGTAACATATGGAAATCCCATGTCCGCTATGCGCGAGGGACGTGTCCAGAAATCAATGGACCTCTCACCCCCCGTTAAAATGTCTGGTGGAGCAAAGGGCTGCACTGCTTCAGTCCCTGTGTGGATCTCATACCGCTTCCCAAGCAGTGCATGTGTTTATAACCGTACATTGCAGAGGCTGGGTCAGGTTAAATAACAGGGCTGCACGAAGGGGCAGAAACGGTGCCGCGAATAGCCCCTGTGAGCCCTGACCTCCAGGCTTGGCCTTGTTTGCTGGGCCACGTTCAGTTCTCAAAAAAACCAGTATATTTTTATTGCCTCTGACAGCACGAGAGGTTGTCTAGTTGAGGGGATGGACAGCCCTGTATCAGGGGGGAATCTGTGGGCTATCTGGGATTTTCAGACCCATGGTTTGTGGTCTCAGAGGCTGGCCAGAGGCAGGGAAAAACACACTTCTCTTTCAGTCGTATCTATTGGTAATAACCAGTGACTGACACAACTCTAAAAGGCCCTGGCCCTGGTGGCAGCTGAGGAGCTGTTATATCCTTGCTCCTTCAGGACAAGCCAGAATCTTTTCTAAACACCATCTATTTTGTCCACTTTTCCTTGTGCAGCAATTGAAAGGGAAGATCCTTGTGAAAGGCAAGAAGCTGAGCAGGCAGGAGGACCCGACCGGAACAAATGGGAACAACAACCTGGAAGCTGAGGATGTCTCTGATGAAGATGAAGCAGCTGAAATTGAAGATGAATCTGTAAAGACCGAGATACAGCAGAAGGGGAAGGTAAGTAAAAGAAGTAACCGAGTCCCAAAATGGAGCAGACCTGGAGAGACAGTAAAGCTATAAACAGGATCTCTGCGAGTTGCAGAAGGCTCTGAATAACTGCAGAAGGAAATCCCATCTTGTTAGCCTATCCTGTGACACATGCTGGGAAACCACTTTCTAGGTGGGCTTTGTACCATGCCAAAAAAAAAAAGGCAATTGAAATATATTTCTAATATGTTCCCAGCTAAGACGATTTTCAGTGTGTTTTCAGCTACTTAGGTGGGGATGTGGAAGGGTGAATTGTTGATCGCTGGAGCTAAGGATCCTGGTCCTTGCTCAGCCTAATGATCTCTGTCCTAAGCACAAACAGAGAACTTCCAGAGCGAGCCAAGCATGAAGGTTGTCTTCTTTCCTTAAAATGAGGCTGGAGAACCCTGCAGCTGGGACAGGTTATGCAGCATTTATGGAAGTGGTGGAAGGCCACAGGTTCAATCTGTCCATCTGAATTCCAGACATCTATTTGTCCAAATCAATTGGGATGACTGCTTCTGGGAGGAAAAGGCTGGCCTTCACACCAGTGTTTTGCTCCCTACTGTGAGAACATCCATTTTTCCAGGTCTTTCTGAAGGCCCTATCTCTAACAGACCAAGTTCGTAGGTGATATGAATACATACGGCCCCACTGGTGGCAAAGCTGATTGATGTTGCCTCTGGATCTCGTCTGATCTGCGCTTCCCCTTCCTGATTTGCTCACTCTTTGAGGGTCTTAGTTATTTTTCTGAACTGTAGGCCATAATGTGTGTAATTTTGAAGTCTGTGATTTTCTTTCCTTGCTTCTGATGGGAGCTGATGGCTCTCGCTTCACCCTTGCACCACTGAATGTGGCTGTGGAGTAGGAGGCACCTAGATTATGAGAACTTCCTAGTTCAAGAGCAAAAAGCTCAAGCTCTGTGGAGGCCTGAACATCCCTCCCTTCCCATTATTTTTAGGTTTGCATGCTTGGCACCAGCACAGTATGGAAAACTCATTGCTAAGGCTCAGTTGTAGTTTAGCAACTGGAGACAGCCATTGATGCTGAAATACAAGTGATCATGCAGAAAGCAGTAGAAAGGGTATCCCACCAACAAAGAGAGGATCCATCTGGAGGACATCATGCAACAAGGGTGCTGGGACAGCGAAGCATCTGTTGTGTGAAATCCTCTCAGCTCACCAGTACAGACTGATTGGGTTCTTCCAGTGTTTGTAGCCCTAACCACTTGTGAGCTGTGATAGCCAAGCTGAAATACTTGCTCATGTAATGACATGCAAACAAATGCAGAAGGAGGGACAGCCTAGATGAAATGAAATATTCCTAGTAGTAATACTTTGGAAGTCAGTGATATCATTGGACAGGCCAGGATGGGCCTGAGAGGGCACTGATGCTCTGAGAGGGGGGATTAGCACTCTCCATGCAGGGCAAGGGACATGGCAAGGGCCGTCTGTCCTTTTTCCACCCTGTCTCTGCATAGGGGTGCCACTGAGTGTTGATACTGTGCATCCTCTCCATCTGAAGATGGTGGAGAAGTGAAGCCCCAGCGGTCCTAGACAAGACATGACTATTACTTTTGAGTACGACTGTAGAAACTCCACACAAATCTCTTGCTCTCCTACTTTTAGAGTGACACCTTGAAGCTGGCCAAGGAGCTGTCAGACACAGTTGTGTACTGCAAGAGTGTCCATTTCGATGGCTTTGAGGACCCCAGCCACCCTCGGCCTTTCTACGAGATGTCATCGTTCACGGAGAGCAAAGCTCTGAAACTAGCCCAGGAGTCTGGTATGTATGTTCTGCCCTGGAAGAAGGCCGTCCTCTGTCCCAGTCCCCCATAAATGGACAGCTAGTGGTGGGTAAGCACGAGGAAAAGGCATCCTGAAAGGCATGGGTTATGATCTCTTTGGCCATGCTGTCACTCAGAAACAGTGAGAATAACTTAAGATCACAGAGGATATCACCAAGAAGGGCATTTGATACAGGTAGTTCACATTCAGCCAGACTCACTAGGTGGAGGAGCTGTATATAGAGCATCACCAAGAAGAGATAAAAGTAGCCCCCGTCACTGAAAGGGCCATTTTCTCTTCTGTTTTTCTGTAGGAACCAGTTTTATTCATCACAACATCAGGCACCTGAGCCGGATCTACCCTGCAGGCTGGAGGACAGATTCTTCCAACTACAACCCTATCGACTTGTGGAACGTCGGCTGCCAGATCGGTGGGTGCAACTGGGAGATTAGACAAGGTCGACCTGGCCGGGTCACCCATGACCTGGCTGTGGCGAGGCTTCAGCTGAGGTAGATCTGCATTCTCAAGCCATTAGCAGGCAGAGAGGCTCAGTGGTCACTGGGAGAGATCAGCCCTTCAGGCCATGCTCAGTGACTTTTCAGTGACCATTTTCTGGTCCACGAGGCAGAGAGGCTCAGTGGTCACTGGGAGATATCAGCCCTTCAGGAAATGCTCAGTGACTTTTCATAGACCATTTTCTGGCCCACGTCAAAGCCATTAGGAGAGCCTTTCCTGCACACTAATGTGCACATCCCTGCAATTTTACTGGAAACAGAGTTATTGCCATTTAACAGAGGAGGAGGGAGCCAGGGGTTACAGTCACTTACTGAAAAGCATGCTGAAATCTCTGGCAGACATGGAAATGAAACTCGGATCTCTCGGGCCCTAAAGCAGATCAGAAGGGCCAAGTCGCGGCCTGAGCTGTTCGCTGTAGTCAAAGCAGTGCATCATACCTAGTCCCAGGGTGTTGAGACCCTGATGGTATATTGATGTCTCGGAGATTTGATGAAAACAAAGATTCCAGAGCCTGTTAGATGAATTCTGTTGTAGCTCTCATCCAGTAAAACTGGTGCAGTGATAAGTGGGCAGGCTGGTGATGGCGTGCTTGGCTCTCTTGGTGATGCTGAATGTTGGAGATGAATCAGTTGTGCCTATGTGGCCCAGATGAACAAGAAAAGCTGCAGATGCAGCGCTCCCAGGCCCCCAGCCATGTGGACCTGCATGGGCTGGATGTGCCTGGCAGCATATGAACTCACTGGGTGCTGCAGCCCCCATGGGAGGCACAAGTAGCACCCATGGACCAGTCTGCCCAGCATTGAGTCTGCCCTCGGGAGAGTCCCTGGGAGGCACCATCAGGTCCCTCGGGCTACACTGAGGCCAGACCTGCATGCCTTATCTGACATGAATTCAGTATCTGGGCACCCAAAAGAAGATTTTTCAGAAGCCCTGAGTACTTGCAGCTCCTGGAAAAACCAGTATACTGCAGTTAGTAAAGTCTTACTTGTAGGTAGAAAAACAGGAGAGTGCCTTAAAATGCTTTTGCCTTCAAGTATTACAGGGTATGTAGGATCCAGGCCCAGGGTAAAGTGCTGTCTGTCCTAGAGCTGTCTTAGAAGTTGCTGGAGAGGTTAGCATCACCCTTGAGAAGTCAGTGGAGTCGTGAGGAGGTGCCGGGGTCCATGTGTGCTCCCTGTGTGATGTTAGTGAGACTGTTCACAGAGGCTGCTTCCAGAGTTGACATTAATCCTTTCAGAAAGACAGTGACAAATTGGAGAGAATGCAAGAAATCTGCCTGGTGTTAGGACACCAGTGAGGCTTGATCTATTTCAGGCAGGGGACAATAAAGGGATGATTTGATCACAGCTTCTGTACTCCTGCATGAGGAACTCTCTAGTCTACCCAACAGAGGCATCAATGCCCCTCACAATGGCAAATGGAAACAGGCATATCTGGGCTAGAAAGGAGGTTTTATAATAAGGCTAAGCAGCCAGAGAAACAATCTGAGAAGGGTTTGCTGGCTTCACTGCAGGACATAACTCCTTCAGCACAGAAATGAATAGCTTTATCTAACAGATGCAGTTGCCTTACTAGGTGACAGGAGTTCAGTGCAGGACACTTTTTGACCTTGTGGCAGGTAGGACAACTGAGATGGCTGTAATGGCTCCTCCTGTCTCTAACATCTCTGAATGCAAGAAATCCTCAGGGGTATCAGACTGTGAGGGTCAGAGTTTATCACTGTACTTTGAAGCATGGAAAAGCCAGTGTTTATATCCATGAAGTGCAATTTCATGTGAACAGAATTAGTACAAAAAGACTCCCACTGATTTATCAGAAAGTGACTGAACTTATTTATTTATGTTGCAGTTGCCCTAAATTTCCAGACAGCAGGCACAGAAATGGATGTCTACCAGGGTCGGTTCCAGGACAATGGGTTTTCTGGGTATGTCTTAAAGCCGGAATTCCTTCGGGATGAGCAAACCAAATTCAATCCAAAATCCATCACAGAAGGAACATGGGGGACAAAGAAGAAGCTTCTACTTAAAGTAAGAATAGAAGTCGGAAAATGTCTCAGTAACATCCACCCTCAGGGGGGGTGTGTAGGTTGTACCTTCTCCTTCTCCTGGTCCCACCTGGGCAATGTTATCCTAAACCTACTCATTTCCCACCACCGGGTCTCTGCTTCAGTCCTGCGTGGGCTCTCATGCTCCAGGCACTTACTCACATGTTTAATGTTCTGCAGTAGCAGAGGTTAATGACAATAGTCACTGTCATTACAGAAACATACAGGCAGACAGGCAGGCAACAGTCACCACTGTTGTTTCCAAGTATCATCTGATCACTGTGGGGACAGTCAGAAAAATTGCCTGCCCCTAACCACCTGGCTGGGCTGGAGCAGTATTCACTGGTGCTTTGGCTCATGTCAGCTTCCTCTGAAGGATGTCACAACGCTGGCTCTGAAAGACCAGCACCAGCTTGTCACAGCAGGTCCTGCGCTCCTGGAGAAGGAGAGGGAAGGTTGCCAGGGAGCCCCCTTTCTTAATGATGTCCTGACCTCTTCCTCCATTTCCTCCACAGATCATCTCTGGTCAGCAGCTGCCCAAGGTGAACAAAAGCAAAAACTCCATCGTTGATCCTAAGGTAACGGTAGAGATCCACGGTGTCCAACAGGATAACAACAAGAAGCAGACCAAAGTCGTTGAAAACAATGGTAAGGGATCTTCTTCCATGCTGCGTTGCCATGGGGCAGTAACCCCTTCCTTTCATGTAGTGGTGTGTTCCTTGCCAAGACTGCTGCCCTGTGGCCAGACCTGCCCAGGTGCACCCAGGCCTGCCCACGCTAAGCAGCTACACGAGGTGCTGTTGTCCTGCTTCGGTGCAGGGACCCTGGTCATAGACTGCTGGTGGCATGAGCTAGCCCCACCGATTGATGTCCCTGTGGAGAATTACTTTCAGGGGTTCTTTCTTCTCTCCTAAGATGTTTGGAGGCAGAAATTCCCTCCAAAACCACATCAGCCATAGGAGTTGTTTTGAGGCTGGCTGCCAAATCTGCAGAGCTAGAGCTCTGGAAGTGCTCTTTACCTCCATGCAGTTGGACTTGACCTGGGATGCATGAGTTCCCACTAATCTCCTTTAGTCCCCACTTAATCTTCTCCCCATCCCCTTCTCATCTTCCCAGAAAAGGCTTCTTGTGAGGCTGATTTTATTCTGAAAGTATCACAAACTCACAAAACTGAGATTGCAAGGGACTTCAGAGGTGTCTGTTCCAGCCCCTGCCCAAAGCAAGATCATATTCAAAGTTAATTCAAGTTGCTCAGGGTGTTGCCCAGGTGAATTTTAAATATTTCAAAAGATGGAGATTCCTCAGACTCTCTGGGCTCTCTCAAGTGCTTGACTGACCTCATGATAAAATAAGATACCCCTACTCTTAACCAGAAATTCCCCTGTTGCAGTTTGTGCCCATTATGCATCAAGCTTTTGCTGTGCACCGGTAAGAAGAGTCTGGCTCTATCTTCTCTGTAAGGAGGTAGTGAAGGTTGGCAACAATAATGCCCTTAGCCTTCTCCAGGTGAAGTAACTCAACCTCTCTCAGCCTCTTCTCATACATAACATAGCCTGTGCAAAAGGAGAACATGTCCCATAGCTCAGAGCCTCCTCACAAGGCAGGGACACTCCATCTGCTCATCCTCTTGGCCAGAGTGGCACTGGTGCTAAATCAGTGCCCATCACAGCAACGCCAGAGGTGAGGAGTGAAAGCCGTAAGACCCGGACTGCAAAGGGCTGGGCTCAAGCCTTACGCAGCGCTGACCTCAGAGATCTCACAGACGTTTCACCTCCCCATGGACCATGTCTCATGGTTGTGATCTCCCTCCATGCAGCGAGGGTCTGATTATTGTGGCCTTCTGAGTTTGCAGAGGGCAAGCCCAGCCCTCTCACCTGTGGGAGTAACGAGGCAGCAGGAGTCTGAGAAATCAGTCCTCACCCTCCTGCTGACAAACACACGGGTACACACACGCACACTGCTTTTCTGTGTGGAGTAAGAGCCGAGTGCTAGAAAGCCAATTTGTATTTTCCTCCCTGATAACAACATTTCTGTTTTCCTCTTTCCTGTTGGAGTAAATCTGTCCTAGCTCCTAAAGCCCACGGCCATTTCTGTCACCTACAATAATTTTTATAATGTCTCGGGTGAAAGCTGTGTAGGG